ATTTGCGAACTGATGGATTTGTGTCTATGCACATACTTCGAATTTGACGGCAAACTCTATCAGCAAATCAAAAGAACACCAATGGGATCACCTATATCCGGATTCCTTGCAGAAGCTGTGATGCAAGAGCTTGAAAATATTGCGCTACCAAGGATTCAACCGAAACTTTGGGTCCGATATGTTGATGATACTTTCGCTATCATTAAACAATCGAAGATCGAAGAGGCACAAACAACGATCAACAACATCTTCAACGGCATAGAGTTTACTATGGAAGAAGAAAAGGACAAAAAATTGTCATTCCTCGATGTACTGGTGAGAAGAACCGACAACGGAACACTGGAGATATCGGTGTATCGAAAACAAACCCATACGGACCAAGTACTGAACTTTCAAAGCAAACATCCAAATATTCACAAGTCGTCCTGGGTACGAACTCTTTTTAAGAGAGCCAGAACACATTGCAGCACAGCGGAACTAAGAGAACAAGAAGAGAAGTATCTCTTCAAATTATTCCAACGAAACGGATACCCAAGACACTTCATACGGAGAATCTTGTACAAAACACAAAGAGAGCCAAGTCAACGAACACAATCCGACAAGAAGATAGTACTTCCATACATTAAGAAATGGCCGCAAGAATGCTCAAACCACAAGGCATTATAATTGCCCACAAGCCTACAAAAACTATGAGAAGAAACACTTCAAGGCCGAAGGGACAAATCAAAAAGGACGAGAGAAGAAATGTCATCTACAAAATCGAATGCAACGATTGTGACAAATGTTACATTGGACAAACTGGAAGGAACGTTGCAACAAGAATTCATGAACACAAACTTGCGATAAGAAGACACGACCCTCTTTCATTGATGTCCGTGCATGAGGACCAAGAAGGACACGTTCAATCTGGACAACTTTCACATTCTGGATCACGCAAGCACAAGGCATTCAAGAGAATTCCTGGAAGCATGGCATTCATCAACAAACTCAATCAATAGACACATCGAACTGGACCCAGTTTACAATCTGCTGAGGCGCAAGGTTTCCAACTTATCCACGAAACAGAAGAGGAGTTGACAGGTTCAATGCCCACCGGCCGATGACCAGAAACCTAAATACCATGCACAAAAGAACCTTCAAATTTATTCTCAAGCACAAAAACATTCCAACTATTAACCAATGGAAAAGGTTTGGTACAACTGCTACTAAATTTAGTAACTCCGACACGTCAAGGTCATAGTCAGAGGTCAACTTACCAAATATAGTAACCTTGGTGCGCAAAGGTCATCGCTATAGCAACCATCAAAGGTCAAGTTACCAAATTTAGTACCATCTTCAAGGTCAACAGCGAGAACAATTCTCAAGGTCAAACCTAGGGTTGGAATACTATAAATAAAGACAAGTACAGGGATCATTACCAACGCACTGACGATGCCACCTCGGCTGGTGATGAAACGTTTGCGATCTAAACGCCAAGCTTAGCGATTACAAGACCCCACAAACCATCAACCTGAGCTACAAACCACACCCATATTCAAATCTGTTGATATATATATATATATATATATTAGTACCAATCTTGGCAGCAAGAGCTGTCGGAAGATTTGATGGTTCTTGGTATAGCTTTGCGTTATCCGCATGTTTAAAACCAAAAACGTCAATGACTGTTTTTTCCTAAGCTAATGCTGGTGCATCAAGAGTTCTTGTACACCAAATAGACAAACTGTTGAACGACCCGGGTCGAATTTCCAATTTCACAACTGCAGACAGTCACTGATTCAAAATAACCTATTATTAGCGTAGATTTCTGCGTATCATGAACCACTGCACACAGTCTCCCTCCGATCCATGCGCGCGTTTGGTTGACACAGTCAACCAAAACTGGACGAGGGTGACTGCTACAGAATGACACAGCGGTCCCCTTAGAGTCCAGGCTAAAATTCACAGCGCTCAATTTTGTAGTCGAGTGCTATCCGAAGTGCACATAAGCACACGCATGATCGCACTTACAGACTGATCGACGGTGGTTGTGACGTAATGTTTTAGTCGCTGTCACCGGTATGCTTTAGACCCTATGGTAGGAGGTTCGAGCCCGGCCACTGCCACCATCGCCCAACTTTGGTGGCAGGCAGCTTTAGTGTTGCCCGGGTTAATACCACGAATAAACTAGCGGGGCTTAATGGGGTTCGCCANTGTAAGTTCCGGGGCTTAGGTTACCGGTATCCGTCAATGAATAGTAGGTTCTCATGACTAGGGGGCTTTCTTCGTCTGTTGTTGTTGGTGAGCAATTTAAAAAATAATAATACACGACCTTTAGGATCATACGATGCTGTTTTTGCCCCTTCTCGAGTACGACTAGCCAGCACCAGAAACAGGTTTCCCTATGATTCCAATCTTCCCATTACTCTTCCATCCACATGGGCATCCAATAGACGGCCACCAAAAGCGCTGCACAAAAGTGCATGGTTACTGTTTGTAGAACAATGAAGTGAACTGGACTATCATTCCCTTTACCCTATAATTCTCTCCTTGCACTTTAATTTCGGGGATACTTTAAGATCCGCCAGTCATGGTTCCCTTAGGGTGGGGGACTAAGATCACAACAGTTCATTTCGTAATCAATTGTTGCAGCTTGCGCACATACTAACACGCGCATGAACGTAACGGCAGACTGACCAACGAAACGACTGGTTATATCAAGGGATAGCACGTTGTCGCCTCTTCTCTAATACGATTACCCAACATAAACCCCAAGTTGATCGAGTAAATACACCGTTAAATGGGCGGAGCTGGTGGATCGATGCATGAAGTAGGTCTTAGAAGCACGCAAATAGGCTTGCGCTGGGATGCAACATTGCGTTTAGCCCGCAACGAGTACAGTTGGTAAGCCCTATTTTGACAAATGTAGCCGGTGTAAATGAGTTTTAGCGGGGTCTGACCGATATTCGTGATAATCGTTTTACTCTGATGGCAGTTCGATTAAGCTTTATAGGAGAATGAACGAACATCATGGCAATTAGACTCCGGAGGTTGGCTAAGGGATGCGAGTTACCATAAGATGAATCGATAAGGCGCGAATTATGATCAGACATGTGCGTTGACATGACCTGTTGGATGGGCCGGTTTGGTCTAGGCCCTGAATGATTTGGAGTACTAAGCGCCACTGCAACCGCGGCTGCCTCGAATTCAACTGACTGCCTTGTTATCAGCACAACCTCATTGTTTACAGAGTACCAGCAATTGGTTTATTGACCCGTGATCCCAAAATTATATGCTGTATTCTGTTTAAGAGATGGATGGTGATTCACTGACACCTAGCTAGATATTTTAATTAGTTCACCAAACTTTTGTAGCAACTACAATTGTATTGCTTGAGGCGAAACTGGGATTCATTTGATAAAATCGCACATTTTAAGCCTTCAACGAGAGCACAAGACAACTGACTGAGTGAAAAAAGGCAAAGCAGCTATCTTACATTCCACACTTCTTCTAAGCTTCGCTTATAGAAGAAGGGATACCAATCGACACAAAAAAAGACAGATTTTGTTTCGTTCCATGACAAAAACAAATTTAGAGTTAACGTAGCGAATGCAATGGATGATGACCGACACAGAGCACTAGACAGTCGTTTCGTCCTGTTTGGGACGAGTACCCCAACACATGAAATTGTTGTAAGCAAAAAATTAGTTTACTACAATACCCATGAGCTCGAAGTACTGCTCGGTTTTACGTTCCAATCTAGTCTTGGTACAACTGGTCCGCAACCGGATGCTTACCAACGGATGTTTAACCCAGAGGTGTACCAGGCCACGAGCGGACTGCTTTACCTGTGACGAACCATTTGTGAAATGTTTTATTCTATATCACACAGAGTTGTATCATCATATCAATTTTGATCAATTTGTCCGCTAATGCAAATCTGAAAATTCAGCTACTCCATCGAGAATATGACTAAGGGTGGGGTTTGTGAGATGTTGATATATATATATATATATATATACGTTTTTAGAAACGTACATTATTGCTATCACTTCTTGGAAAGTACCCTTTGGCCCTCGGTAGAGGTTCGAATAATCTAAACATAGTCACTGCGTGATGGAAGAGAAAGGTGCTGTTCCTGTAAGACAATGATTACATGCTTAGAGCAAGTTCATGGAAAATCGGAGTCTGAACTGCAGTCCAGTGGAGGCATACACTTCGCAAAGTCCCTATGTGAGGCTTGCGAGAACTTTTTCGCTCCGTGTTATCTGGGTTTCCAACTTTTATCTATTTAAATCCAAACAATTCACAATGAAAAAAGAAATAAACCTTTAAAAAAGGTGATATTCAGACACGTTCGAAACTGATATTTATCATTCACTTACTTTTCGATCAGTCTGCGGAAAAAGGAGTTGTGTTCGTTTGGCCATACGGAAGAATTGACCGCCCGCATGATTGTGTAATCCAGGATAAATGTCATATCCAGGCTGATGACGTCCAAACGTCAACTGACTACTAAATCCCGTTAATATCGGCGAGTCGGGTGGAAGTCCAGAGGCCGGTTGTATAGCAGAACGATTGACAGAGAGTTGACTAACAAGCAATCGACTGCCTGAACCAGAAACGATATCCCTCTCGGATTGTGAAGCCGAGCAAGTGAATAAAGGTGTGGGACCAGTTGAAGTCACAACAACCGATGTTGTAGATATCGAAGCGGATTTGGTAGCAGACGGGGAGGTCACCACGCTCGAACTATCTACATTATCTGAACGAGTTTCAGCAACTTCCGTTGATCCACGAGAAACGTTGCCCGTGAATGTCGATTGACTACCCACTGTAGCTGTATCACATATGGTCAGGAAACAAAAGAAAAAATGAACAGACTAATCACACTTCTATCACCAGGCCACACTAAACATAATACGCGAAATGTCACAATAAAAATCAGTACCACGTAACGTTCAGTCGGTTATCGAAGATTATTAATCAACAGAAAGCTGTTCATCGGACGCCACTTACTTGGGGAAGGTACGTCTTCTCTGGGAGCGACTTCAGAGGCGACAGTATCTTCCATCATGGGTACCTCAGTAGTTGGCTCCAGATGATCATCATCGGATTGAACAAGATTGCGCAGACGAGGCAATTCGTTCTCCATTCGCTCAATCTGATCTAGTGTTAAACGCTGGGATAAACTGAAGGGAAGAATCAGAGTCCCCGTGGAGCTCCGAGTAAGGTTATTCTGTGCAGCTGGATCCCCTGTGGCCAAACCAATAAGTCGGGTCAACAATGAGGTTTCAGGATCATCAGTGTTTACAGGAACCGGAGAGCATGTGTCCCGCGAAGTCAGAATCACGGTGTTCAAATCATTGTCAGCCCATTCGGCGAATAGTTGTCTGGCATATCCACAGCTTAAGTCCGATAAGGTTGCAAGCACTACCTGAAAACAAAAAACCATATGTTTTAAAAAATGATAGTAGTAGTTTCTTTTGTTGTTGTTGGAATGTTACCGAATTGTCCAAGCCAAAATTGATGATTTTCATAAAAATAAAATGCGACCTTTGGTTGCTCAAAGCCTGACGCACAAACCACCGATGTGGTTCGTTGGAGAAAATTTACCGTTAGTCGAATCGCGACCAACATGTTCAAGATATTTAACACATACAACAGCTTAAAACAATCAGCGTCATTCATGATCAGTCTGTATTGAAGCCAGTTATTACGCTCCCCCCCCCTTGTTGTGTTCAGGATCACACCCTTCACACACCCTTCAGAGAAAAGCAACGCCAGAGTTTAGAGCGGTCGACTGAGTCGAAAGCCGCTTTCAGATCAAGGAAGACAGAGATTGTGGGTCTACGAAAATGTTGTCGGTGCTCCGGAATTCGGAGAAGAATGAAGATGTGGTCGACAACCTCGATCAGGTCTAAAACCAGCCTGGTTCTCACGCGTGCACTCTTCACATGCAGCAGACAATCGACGGAGCATGATCCCAACGAGAAGTTTCGAAGCCATGTTGATTAAACTAATTCATCTGTGGTCTTCACAAGAGTATTTGTCACTTTTCTTGCAAATCGTTAAGATGATCGATTCACACAACTCAGCTGGAACCTGTTCCCTCTCACACATTGAGCCTAAGAGTTTCGTCAACTCCAAGACTAACGCTCAACTACCAATGTTTGGGTCTCACACAAACTCTGATCGACTATCCATGTTCAATTCAAGATATAAACGTTGTAAAATCTACTTTCGCTCATTAAAAACGAAATAGGTTGCACATAAACAAGAAAAAATAAGAATTTCTTGCACATGTACAAAGGCATACCTTCGGTTCCGGTACCGCATCCAACTGTTCTAAAGTGTGGCACAGTTGCATGTGCCTAAAGTGGAACGGATTGGTGCGTTGATCTTCGAACGTTCGCATCACTTTCTCTGACATCCACTCGACCATTGAACGGGCAAAGTCAACCACATTATATGTAACGAAATTCAGCATTGCAAGCCCATAGGCCATTAATCCAGAATCCTGAAAGAATATGGCAAACAATTTATATGTAAAGGTCAGTGTATTATCCAATAAAGGAATAAACTACCAATGTGTATAAAGATTGGACCAAGGAGATTTATACCTGATTCAACCAACACTGTTCCAAGAAATGAGCAATCTCCAAAGACCGTCCAGCAGTATCCACAGTGACCAGAACGTTTCCTCCACGCCTGAGACTTTTCAAGATGCACTGACGCAAGTGTTCGTCTCTATCCTTTCTTCGAGGCTATCGGATGCTAAAAACAAAGACGAGGCACAAACTTACATGTACGTATAATGCATTTGATGCATCCAGTATCAGAAGATGAGGACGCATGCACGCGTCAAATGTCGCTCCATTCAAATGTCGCTCCTTTTTGTGATTAAAATCCACAGCATACACAATGTCTACATCTTCCTTAACTAGTTTCCATATTGTCCCACCGAGAGTGTGGCCTAAAACGAAATGCATTGTTAGCACCAATTAGCTCACCTGAAGGTAGAGGAGTAATGCAAAGACCTCTACCGCGACCATGCAAATTTATCGTCTGTTGATACTTGACCTGAGTGACGAGGTCGAACGCGGCATCTACGTCATCTAGGCTGAAGACAGAAAAATCCTGTACAGCGAACTTGGACTGGAAAAAATCATACAGAGTTAATTGACCCATTTTGTACACCGGTGTCGTAGCATAAATAGGGCATTTTAAACCACATGATCCCACGAGGTAAGGCAACAATCCGAGATGTCGCATGCTCTGGTGACTTATCAAAACAGCATCAACATGCTTTGCCCATTTGCTGAGTTTGACTGCATAATCACTGTTTAGGTCTTCAATCCATCCGCAATCCAGCAAGCAATGAAACTCGTCAACCTAAAGAATTAATACTGAAAGTTCACGCGTACCTGGAGAATATAGCATGGTGGACTGACATCACTATCACAAGAAAACGTGTGCAGTTTTACTATGGACGTAGCCATCTGAGTACCCCCCGGTGAGCTAAAAAGAAAAATTAATTTTTAGCGATGGGTAGATCATTACTGAAATTACTGGCACTGCTAAAAGATGGAAACAATTTGGTTTGAGCAACAGAAACTTTTGTACAAAAGGTAGTGGATTTTAAACTTCACGATGGCAGAATCGCGAACCAAGTACAAAGACTTTGAAGCAGGCAATAAAACTTTTATGCCCCGACGAAATCTGTTCGAGGGTGAATGTAACCCGCTTTCTTCACTGTATTATTGTATTGCATTATAGATGACTTGTGCATGCAACTGTCCCTAAATTTCAATAAAAAGAGTTCATCGTTACAGGGGGATAAAAAATGAAATGAAAATTCATATACAACAATGATAAAACTTAAATAGATGTTCATCTTTGAAGGTTACAAATTAGTTCGTTGCATATCCTCACACGAACCAGATAAGGAACCGTTGAGTTGCGATAAATCTTTAGGCGGGAGGGTAAGCAGAGAAGATTGGATAGGGGCGTAGCGTGGGAACGGCAAGCAGATAAATAGGCATCATGTTCCAATCCCTTGGGTATTTGTGTCATAATTCCCTAAATGTTTAGCATCATTGCACTGGCAGCGTGCTGGTTCCAAAGTATATATATATATATATATATATA